GAATAAAATTTCTTTTAACATGAATGTGTTGCATAGTTTGACTTGTTCATTTGACCATTAAATTAGTGAGCCACTGAATGGAAGCCGAGTCCCCAGGCGCTTGACCGCAACAAAAAACAATCATTCTTATTAAAATGATTTTATTATTTTGTTAAGTATATTCTCCTCAGCAACGGTTCGAATTCAATCTTTTATGAATTTATTCAAAAAAAAAAAAACAATAATTTTTAAAAGCTCCAAGACCGAACATGCTTTTAATTTCCAAAATAATCAGAGATGAGGTTTTTTCTATTTCCCCAATGTTGTTTTTTTGTTGTTAATGCGCAGGTGAAGACCGAGAATGAAGGTGAGCAATAGAAAGAGAAACAGGTTGAAGAACCATTGGTAGATCTTTCTAAACCAAAAAATGAGGCTCCAATTTTATCCTCCTTCGCAGTTCTAGTTGCGGCCGAGGCAACCGTGGCTAAACCGAAGGAGGAGAAGACCGAAGAGCTGGCAAAGGAGGCGGAAGATGATAATTCAATAAAAGAAGATAAAAAAAGGTATGGCACCTCTCGTGCAATTGATGTAAACTTCCTAACCATAACATGCCATATGCATTGGCATCATTTGTCTGATTAATTTAATTTCTCTAGTTGCTAGGTTTCTCTGTAACATTAAGTGCAAAAATTGAACATTCCATTATTTGTTAGTGAACTTGATTTATTGATCTATTTGTTTGTTTGTTTTAATTAATATCTTGTTAGTTGTTTTCCTGTTAAAACAAGTTTATCTCTACTTCTCCATGGAGCGCCTGAAATTGTTACTTCCAGAGTTCAGAATTTCACATGCTGCTTTCACTTTGTCAATGGTTGGGGCAGTATATCCTTCACAACTCATAATTTCTTCCACCAGGTACCAATTAGCAAGTTAGTAACTAATAAGATGGACCACACGTACATAGGAAAAATCATAAATTTAAAGTATGTTTTAATTGGTAAAAGCTCAAAAATTTAAATTGAAAGTCTCTTAATCAAACTTTAAAATAGGTGGGGAGGAATTTGAAGAAAGGAAGGCTATACTTATATAGTTTAATCAATTAAAAAAATCACAAAAAATTTAAGGATTAATTTTGAGAATCTTTTAATTATGATTAACTAAAGAGTGGTTTACAAAGTTCAGCAGTAAGTAGTCTAAAGGCGAAACCCTCTTTGAAAGGGAGTTTATAGGACATGAAATCCTGAGTTCTATGCTAAAACATTACTAATTTCTCACTCCCAAAAATTTCTCAAGTTCAAAAATAAATAAATACATTGGTCTACATAGACTTGTATTTTTTCCGTTTGGGAATTTGGCATTCCTCTAATCATTGTATCTTTTAAATGCTCACATCTTTGGCTCAGTTTTTTTGGACAAACATTTGGTGGAGAGATAAACCCGTTGACCTGTTTCTATGGAGCATACAAGATTTGGCAGGATCACCCACTTTTCTGTAGGTATATACTCTCTTTTTGGCCACCGATATCTGGCGAATTTGGTCTAAACTTCTTCTTTTTTTTTTTTTTTATAAGAGCAATGATTAGAGATTAGTATGTTAGAGGTGTTAGTGGGGAGTATTGAACCCGGGACTTAAGAGTGCAAACCATAGGCTGCCTTTTATGGCAGCAAGTGACTACTGAGTCACGACACGTGGAATGCTGGTCTAAACTTCTTTACCGCAACATGTCTATATGCATTGGCATCATTTGTCTAATTAATTTAATTTCTCTAGTTGCTAGGTCTCTCTGTAACATTAAGTGCAATAATTGAACATTTCATTCTTTATTAAACTTGATTTATTGATTTGTTTGTTTGTTTGTTTGTTTGTTTAATAAATTGTTAGTTTTTTTCCCTGGGTTCAGAATTCATAAGCTACTTTCACTTTGTCAATGGTTGGGGCAATAATATATCTTTCATGAATCACAATTTCCCCAGATACCAATTAGCAATATAGTAACTAATAAGAAGATGGACCACACGTTGACATGAAAACTCATAAATTTCTAGTTATGTTAATAAGTAGGAATTTATAATCTCAAATTGAAAGTTTTCTGGTCAAACTTTAAATAAATAAAAAGGAATTTGAGGAAAAAAAGAATACACTTGTATAGTTTTCATCTGTTCAATGACAAAATTTAAGAGTTTCAAGAATCTTTTGAATATGATAAGCCAAAAGTTGGTC